TGGGGCACTATTCCTCCCACTGACACCAATGATGGGACACTATTCCTCCCACTGACACCAATGATGGGACACTATTCCTCCCACTGACACCAATGATGGGACACTATTCCTCCCACTGACACCAATGATGGGACACTATTCCTCCCACTGACACCAATGATGGGGCACTATTCCTCCCACTGACACCAATGATGGGGCACTATTCCTCCCACTGACACCAATGATGGGACACTATTCCTTCCACTGACACCAATGATGGGGCACTATTCCTCCCACTGACACCAATGAATGGGCACTATTCCTCCCACTGACACCAATGATGGGGCACTATTCCTCCCACTGACACCAATGATGGGGCACTATTCCTCCCACTGACACCAATGATGGGACACTATTCCTCCCACTGACACCAATGATGGGACACTATTCCTCCCACTGACACCAACGATGGGACACTATTCCTCCCACTGACACCAATGATGGGACACTATTCCTCCCACTGACACCAACGATGGGACACTATTCCTTCCACTGACACCAATGATGGGGCACTATTCCTCCCACTGACACCAATGATGGGGCACTATTCCTCCCACTGACACCAATGATGGGGCACTATTCCTCCCACTGACACCAATGATGGGGCACTATTCCTCCCACTGACACCAATGATGGGGCACTATTCCTCCCACTGACACCAATGATGGGGTACTATTCCTCCCACTGACACCAATGATGGGGCACTATTCCTCCCACTGATACCGATGATGGGGCACTATTCCTCCCACTGATACCAATGATGGGACACTATTCCTCCCACTGACACCAATGATGGGGCACTATTCCTCCCACTGACACCAATGATGGGGCACTATTCCTCCCACTGATACCGATGATGGGGCACTATTCCTCCCACTGACACCAATGATGGGGCATTATTCCTCCCACTGACACCAATGATGGGACACTATTCCCCTCACTGACGCCAATGATGGGGCACTATTCCTCCCACTGACACCAATGATGGGGCACTATTCCCCTCACTGACGCCAATGATGGGGCACTATTCCTCCCACTGACACCAATGATGGGGCACTATTCCTCCCACTGACACCAATGATGGGGCACTATTCCTCCCACTGACACCAATGATGGGGCACTATTCCTCCCACTGACATCAGGGGATTTCCTACTTCCACTTGCCCCAGTCTGGCCCCCCAAAGTTTGAAGGACGGTTATTTGGCCCTTTTCTTAGACAGTTTGGAGACCCCTGAGCTGTGAAAAACAGCTCCGCCTTCCTCCTGGAACACTATTGGCTGGCCACTGCCGTTGGTAGAATCCTGCCCCTCCCCCTTCTTGTGCTTCTGTTACATTGTATCATGTTTGTCATAAAAAGAGATTTCCTTTCCTGCGGCTCCAATGCCATTGGCCATCCTCCTGGTCACCCCCAAAAAAATGGCTGTACGGGGGAGGGGGAGGTTATCCTCCACATACTATACTGGGACCGGCCCCCAGCTATCAAGTCACAGCTCCTGCCCCGCCCACTTCAGTGCTTACCTGTCTATTGGTCGGGGAGTATGGGAGGAGGGGTAGGGGCTCATGTTTATGGGGCTCGGTGCTTTTGAAACATGTTAAACGCAGGATGGCAATGGGAACCCCCAACAACATGAATCCTCAGGGGTGGAGCTTGCACACAGAAAGGGGTGGAGACTGCATTGAGATAAAACCCGCCATCACTAGATCCTGCCAGAAATCCAGCGCAAGCTATCCCTCCTCTGCAGTGACACCAGTCCCACCCAGATTACCTCCCTGAACTACAGAACACCTTCCCCCATTTTAGGTGATCTGTAGTCCTTGATTTAGGGTGACAACACTGCTCCTCCACACGGTACACTGAGTAAAGGTTGTCACCCTAGAACAGGAAGTGTGTTAATGGCAGGATCACCAGGAGAAAAGGAATTAAAAAAAGAAAGCTAATGCAGCCATCACTTCTGAGGACGGACAAGCGGCAGCGCGACATTTCTGTTCTTTAGGTTCAGATCCACTTTGTATATCAGGCCAGGAGGGCGGAGCCATATTTCCGGGCTTCTTACCAGAGGTGGGGTCTCCGTCAGACAGGAAGATGACGATTGACGCGCTGATCTCCGGGGAACACTTTGCTCGCTCTGTCGTTTTTCAGCATTTTGGCTGCAGCTAATAAAGCCGAATTTATATTTGTGCCTAAAAGAAATCCAAGATATAATAGTAATATATCAGACTAAAAGGTGACAATGTACCCTCCCCCGAGGTGTCAGCCCCTCCCCTCCCCCCATATATACCGTATAATAATGTCAGACTCATAGACGATTACAATGTATCCTCCCCCGAGGTGTCAGCCCCTCCCCCCATATATACCGTATAATAATGTCAGACTCATGGACGATTACAATGTATCCTCCCCCGAGGTGTCAGCCCCTCCCCTCCCCCCCCCCATATATACCTTATAATAATGTCAGACTCATGGACGATTACAATGTATCCTCCCCCGAGGTGTCAGCCCCTCCCCCCCCATATACACCGTATAATAATGTCAGACTCATAGACGATTACAATGTACCCTCCCCCCGAGGTGTCAGCCCCTCCCCCCATATATACCGTATAATAATGTCAGACTCATGGACGATTACAATGTATCCTCCCCTGAGGCGTCAGCCCCTCCCCCCATATACACCGTATAATAATGTCAGACTCATGGACGATTACAATGTGTCCTCCCCCGAGGTGTCAGCTCCTCCCCCTCCCCCCATATAAACTGTATAATAACATCAGACTCATAGACGATTACAATGTACCCTCCCCCGAGGTGTCAGCCCCTCCCCTTCCCCCCATATATACCGTATAATAATGTCAGACTCATGGACGATTACAATGTATCCTCCCCCGAGGTGTCAGCCCCTCCCCCCATATATACCGTATAATAATGTCAGACTCATAGACGATTACAATGTATCCTCCCCCGAGGTGTCAGCCCCTCCCCTCCCCCCCATATATACCTTATAATAATGTCAGACTCATGGACGATTACAATGTATCCTCCCCCGAGGTGTCAGCCCCTTCCCCCCATATACAACGTATAATAATGTCAGACTCATAGACGATTACAATGTATCCTCCCCCGAGGTGTCAGCCCCTCCCCCCCATATACACCGTATAATAATGTCAGACTCATAGACGATTACAATGTACCCTCCCCCCCGAGGTGTCAGCCCCTCCCCCCATATATACCGTATAATAATGTCAGACTCATGGACGATTACAATGTATCCTCCCCTGAGGCGTCAGCCCCTCCCCCCCATATACACCGTATAATAATGTCAGACTCATGGACGATTACAATGTGTCCTCCCCCGAGGTGTCAGCTCCTCCCCCTCCCCCCATATAAACTGTATAATAACATCAGACTCATAGACGATTACAATGTACCCTCCCCCGAAGTGTCAGCCCCTCCCCTTCCCCCCATATATACCGTATAATAATGTAAGACTCATAGACGATTACAATGTATCCTCCCCCGAGGTGTCAGCCCCCTCCCCCCCATATACACCGTATAATAATGTCAGACTCATGGACGATTACAATGTGTCCTCCCCCGAGGTGTCAGCTCCTCCCCCTCCCCCCATATAAACTGTATAATAACATCAGACTCATAGACGATTACAATGTACCCTCCCCCGAGGTGTCAACCCCTCCCCTTCCCCCCATATATACCGTATAATAATGTCAGACTCATAGACGATTACAATGTATCCTCCCCCGAGGTGTCAGCCCTTCCCCCCATATATACCGTATAATAATGTCAGACTCATGGACGATTACAATGTATCCTCCCCCGAGGTGTCAGCCCCTCCCCTCCCCCCCATATATACCTTATAATAATGTCAGACTCATGGACGATTACAATGTATCCTCCCCCGAGGTGTCAGCCCCTTCCCCCCATATACAACGTATAATAATGTCAGACTCATAGACGATTACAATGTATCCTCCCCCGAGGTGTCAGCCCCTCCCCCCCATATACACCGTATAATAATGTCAGACTCATAGACGATTACAATGTACCCTCCCCCCGAGGTGTCAGCCCCTCCCCCCATATATACCGTATAATAATGTCAGACTCATGGACGATTACAGTGTATCCTCCCCTGAGGCGTCAGCCCCTCCCCCCATATACACCGTATAATAATGTCAGACTCATGGACGATTACAATGTGTCCTCCCCCGAGGTGTCAGCTCCTCCCCCTCCCCCCATATAAACTGTATAATAACATCAGACTCATAGACGATTACAATGTACCCTCCCCCCGAAGTGTCAGCCCCTCCCCTTCCCCCCATATATACCGTATAATAATGTAAGACTCATAGACGATTACAATGTATCCTCCCCCGAGGTGTCAGCCCCTCCTCCCCCCATATACACCGTATAATAATGTCAGACTCATGGACGATTACAATGTGTCCTCCCCCGAGGTGTCAGCTCCTCCCCCTCCCCTTATATAAACTGTATAATAACATCAGACTCATAGACGATTACAATGTATCCTCCCCCGAGGTGTCAGCCCCCTCCCCCCCATATACACCGTATAATAATGTCAGACTCATAGACGATTACAATGTATCCTCCCCTGAAGTGTCACCCCTCCCCCCCCCCCAACCCCCCACCCCATACGAATACTCTCTATATTCACCTCCTCTCGCTGTGATCTCTGCGACAAACTCTTTTGCGCTTTTGATATTTTCCGGCGCGGCTTTTACCAGATTATTCTTCCATTTTAAAACTTCTTCGTTAAACTTTAATATGCCAACGTGGTCTTCCTCCGGGAGGTCTTCCAGGATTTTTGTGAAGGCTTCAAGTGTCTACAAAAAAAAAAAAGTCGTCACATCGAGCTGAGCCAAGAAACAGGTTTGGTGCCGATCACACCGGTGCGACTTACCATGCCGTGCGAGTTTCAAATCACATGATAAGTCACACCCTATTAAAGTGGTCATATCATTGTGATTCAGACTCACCGATTGTGAAAGTAACGCATGCATAGACTGCTGTGCAAGACTGGAGGGGAGGAGCCGGTACACCTGTGCAAGACTGAAGGGGAGGAGCCGGTACACCTGTGCAAGACTGAAGGGGAGGAGCCGGTACACCCTGTGCAAGACTGAAGGGAGGAGCCAGTACACCTGTGCAAGACTGAAGGGGAGGAGCCGGTACACCTGTGCAAGACTGAAGGGGAGGAGCCTGTACACCTGTGCAAGGCTGAAGGGGAGGAGCTGGTACACCTGTGCAAGACTGAAGGGGAGGAGCCGCACCGATTGTGAAAGTAACGCATGCATAGACAGCTGTGCAAGACTGAAGGGGAGGAGCCACTACACCTGTGCAAGACTGAAGGGGAGGAGCCGGTACACCTGTGCAAGACTGAAGGGGAGGAGCCGGTACACCTGTGCAAGACTGAAGGGAGGAGCCAGTACACCTGTGCAAGACTGAAGGGGAGGAACCGGTACACCTGTGCAAGAATGAAGGGGAGGAGCCTGTACACCTGTGCAAGGCTGAAGGGGAGGAGTCCGGTACACCTGTGCAAGACTGAAGGGGAGGAGCTGGTAAGGGGAGGAGCCGGTACACCTGTGCAAGACTGGAGGGGAGGAGCCGGTACACCTGTGCAAGGCTGAAGGGGAGGAGTCCGGTACACCTGTGCAAGACTGAAGGGGAGGAGCTGGTAAGGGGAGGAGCTGGTACACCTGTGCAAGACTGAAGGGGAGGAGCTGGTACACCTGTGCAAGACTGGAGGGGAGGAGCCGCTACACCTGTGCAAGACTGGAGGGGAGGAGCCAGTACACCTGTGCAAGACTGAAGGGGAGGAGCCGGTACACCTGTGCAAGACTGAAGGGGAGGAGCTGGTATACCTGTGCAAGACTGAAGGGGAGGAGCTGGTATACCTGTGCAAGACTGAAGGGGAGGAGCCTGTACAACTGCAAAAGACTGAAGGGGAGGAGCCAGTACAACCGTACAAGACTGAGGGGGAGGAGCCAGTACAACTTACAAGACTGAAGGGGAGGAGCCAGTACAACTGTATAAGACTGCAGGCAGCCAATCAGAGGCTGACAACAGCACTATAGAATGTGAAGAAGCAGCTCACTGTTTCCAGAGTTAGCTTGGATGGACTGTGAGCTCCGTTGCAGTAATGTAGATTTATACGTATTATATATTGTCTGTGTTGTACACCGCTATGGTATATGTTGGGTTTTCGTAATGAAACAATAATGGACATGACTCCGGGGATCATATTTCCTCTGACAGGTGAACGCCGGACATCGTTTTATTGTGATTGTTATCAATGCTCCTTTCATCTCTGGGTTTTAGAGCTGACAATCATTAGACCGACTTCTCACAATATGAAATTTTTGGGTCCTCGATACGAGAAATGGACCCAATGATTGGTGTCACCTGTTGTATCTTCCGTCCTCTCTCATCGATCCGCTGCAGTCAATGACAAACACCACACATTCTTTGGCAGCCTGGCGAGGCTGCTGGGAGCGAAGTAATGGACGAAGTATCCATTGATGATCTGTGAGATGGAAGTATGAGGTAATCACATCAATGGAAAGCCCATGTACTGCCAGGAGCATGCTTGCTACACATGACCTCAGCATTGGCTCCGATTGGTCACATGACCTCACTACACTGTGAGCTCTCACAGCATTGGCTCTGATTTGTCACATGACCTCACTACACTGTGAGCTCTCACAGCATTGGCTCTGACTGGTCACATGACCTCAATACACTATGAGCTCTCACAGCATTGGCTCTGATTAGTCACATGACCTTGCTACACTACGAGCTCTCACAGCATTGGCTCTGATTGGTCACATGACCTCACTACACTATGAGCTCTCACAGCATTGGCTCTGACTGGTCACATGACCTCAATACACTATGAGGTCTCACAGCATTGGCTCTGATTAGTCACATGACCTCGCTACACTATGAGCTCTCACAGCATTGGCTCTGACTGGTCACATGACCTCACTACACTATAAGCTCTCACAGCATTGGCTCTGATTGGTCACATGACCTCATTACACTATGAGCTCTCACAGCATTGGCTCTGACTGGTCACATGACCTCAATACACTATGAGCTCTCACAGCATTGGCTCTGATTGGTCACATGACCTCAATACACTATGAGCTCTCACAGCATTGGCTCTGATTGGTCACATGACCTCATTACACTATGAGCTCTCACAGCATTGGCTCTGACTGGTCACATGACCTCAATACACTATGAGCTCTCACGGCATTGGCTCTGACTGGTCACATGACCTCACTACACTATGAGCTCTCACAGCATTGGCTCTGATTGATCACATGACCTCATTACACTATGAGCTCTCACAGCATTGGCTCTGATTGATCACATGACATTCCACAATCAGCATTCACTATACTGGCTTACCTGACATCATCACAATACCAGCTTTCATTGCATTGCTTCTGATTGATCACATGGCATCTCCACGCTGCCATCTTCCACGACATTGGCTCTTGCTCATCACATGATACCATCATGCTGCCAGTGTTAACTTTATATTAGAACACATGACAGCATTATCAGCTTTCTCCATTGACTTGGATAACCGTATGATTTTGCAATGCCTACTGTCTCTTTATTGGCTCTGGATGATCATATGACACAACCACTCCCCCAACATTCACTAAACTGGCTCTGAGTGGTCACATGACATCAGCACAATTTCAGCTTTCACTACATTGGCTCTGAGGAATCGCATGGTATCAGCATACTTCCAACTTTCATTACATTGGTTCTGTGAGATCACATGACATCAGTATATTCTCAGCTTTCACTACATTGGCTCTGAGGAATCGCATGATATCAGCATACTTCCAACTTTCGTTACATTGGTTCTGTGAGATCACATGACATCAGTATATTCTCAGCTTTCACTAGATTGGCTCTATATAATCACATGACATCAGCACACTCCCAGCTTTCACAACATTGGTTCTGAGGGACCATATGACATCAGCATATTCTTAGCTTTCATTAGATTGGCTAGATATAATCACATGACATCACCACACTCCCAGCTTTCACTAGATTATCTCTGAGGAATCATATGACGTCATCACGCTGTCAGCTTTCACTAAACTAGCCATGACTACTTACAGTAAATTACATTTTCCCAACCAAATCAGCAGCTTTGAGGACCCCTAACCGAATAAAGGAAAGTTTTATTTTAGGTTCCGGAAAACTGACCTGGATGTTCCCAGCAGATGTTTCTCTCTTCACGTCGTATTTTATCGTGAAGTCACCATCCAGAAGTGTTTCAGAGCAAACAGTACATTTACGTTGCTGGTGAATGGTGGGCTTAAACATGATATGTGCCTGGAAAGGATACATTGAGTCACCCAGAATTACTTTATTATGAAACTGCATTTTGAAAATATTGCAAAAAACAAAGAAAGTTAGACAATTGATGACAAAGGAGGACCAAAGAAAGCAAAGGAATACCAAGGAGGACAAAGGAGGGCCAAGGATGACTAGGGAGGACTAGGGAAGACAAAGAAAGGCCAAGGAAGGCAAAGATAGACCAAGGAAGAAAACAGTAAACTAAGGAGGGCTGGGAACAACAAAGCAAGACCAAGGAAGATCAAGGAAAAAAAAAACTAATCAAAAGATGGACAAAGAAAAACCAAGGAGGACTGTGGAAGACACAGAAAGACAAAGGAAGATCAAGGAGCACCAGGGAGGACTAAGGTAAATAGAAGAAGACCAAGGAAGACTAAGGAAGGCAAAGAAAAGCCAAAGAAGACAAAGGGAGACCAAGGAGGACTAGGGAAGACAAAGGAGGACCAAGAAAAACCAAGGGACACTAATGAAGACCAGGAAAGGTTATGGAAGACAAGAAAGGCAAAGGAAGACCAAAGAAAACAAAAGAAGGACAAAGGAAGATCAGGGAGGACTAGGGAAGACAAAGGAAGAGCAAGGAGGACCAAGAAGGACTGGGAAAGTCAAAAGAAGCCCAAGGAAGACAAAAGAAGAACAAAGGTTGACCAATGAAGACCAAAGAAGGCAAAGAAAGACCATGAAAGTCAAAGGGGGACCAAGAAGGACTAGGGAACACAAAGGTGGACCAAGAAAAACTAAGGGAGACAAAGAAAGGACAAAGAAAACAAAAGAAGCTTAAAGAAAAAACAAGGAGACAAAAGAAGACCAAGAAGGAGGAGGGAAGACAAACAAGACAAATGAAGACCAGAGAAGACAAAAGAAGGACAAAGGAAGCTCAACAAAAGACCAAGAAAGAATAGAAAAGGCAAAAGAAGACAAAAGAACACAAAATAAGGACAAAGGATGACCAAGAATGACTAGAAAATACAAAAGAAGACAAAGGAAGACAAAAGAAGGACCAAGGATGACCAAGGAAGGTAAAGAAAGAACAAGGAAGTCAAAGAGAAACCAAGGAGGACCAGGGAGCACAAAGGTGGACCAAGAAAAACAAAGACAAGCAAAGACAGGCCAAAGAAAACAAAAAAATAAACATAAATAAAAACCAAGGGAGACAATGGAAGACCAAGGAGGACTAGGGAAGACAAGAAAAACAAAGGAAGACCAAAGAAGACAAAGCTCAACGAGGACCAAGGAAGACTAGAAAAGGCAAAAGAAGACCAAGGAAGACAACACAAGGACAAAGAAAGACAAATAAAGAACAAAGAAGTCAAAGGGAGACCAAGGAGGACTAGGGAACACAAAGATGGACCAAGAGAAACCAAGGGAGACAAAGAAAAGTCAAAGAAAACAAAATAAGTACAAAGAAAACCCAAGGAGGACAAGTGAAGATCAAGGAGGACAAAGGAGGTTCAAGGAGGACTAGGGAAGACCAAAGTCAAAGAAAGACAAAGAAGCACAATGGAAGACCAGGAGGACTAGAAGGCAAAAGAAGACCAGGGAAGACAATGGAAGACCAAAAAAGACAAAGGAAGGACAATGGAAGACCAAGGAGGAGTAGGGAAGACAAAAGAAAACCAAGGAAGGCAAAAGAAGGACAAATGGTAACAAAGGAATGCTAAGAAAGGCAAAGAAAGACCAAGGAAGCCAAAGGGAGACTAAGAATGACCAAGAGAGACAAAGAAAGACTGAGGAGGACAAGGTAAGGCAAAGGAAGACCAAGGAGAAGACTGGCCTTGTTTCCCGTGTGACTTATCGTAACCACATCCATGAGTTCATTTGTCATGAAGCTTCCACGAGCGTCCACAAAGCTGATTTCCTGAGGTTCAGTGATGTCCACATTTATCTGCCAAACAATTTATATACAGTTCAGGCTCAGGTACCATTGTATGCCGTGCTGGACACTAAGGGATGTCAGGCTGGAGGAGGGGCTGATTCTAGGCAGGCTGCCTTAGGTAGCGCCCACATGTGATATTGAACCTCCATGATTGGCAGAACTGAAATAAATGAATTAAAGGGGCGGGGCAGGGATAGTCAGGCTGGGGAGGAAAGCGCTAGATGATGATGGATGTCCCCCCAGCCAGGAAATGAGGCGGAGCTCTATCTGACTTGCTGCAGCTTCTAATGCACATTGTGAGAGGCTCACAGGATGCAGCGACATCAGAGGAAGACATTGAGTAGCTGCAAGACTGACGGGAAGGCCGGAGGCCAGATATGACTCCGTTCCACCAATAGATATACAGGATGAGGGACCTTCAGGGCTGAACCAACGGCCGTCTCACCTGAAAGTTTTCTACCAGCTGCCGCGGTTGCACTTTGATCTGCATTTCATAACTCCCATGATGCCGCTTCAGTAGCTCCTCATAGGTCAGTTTAAAGATGGCGGAGGCCCGAGCGCCGACATTGACGGAGATTTTGAAGTTTTCCATTTTCCTTCCCGTGGATCTAAATTTCCAAAATGTTACATTGTAACTGGAAGCGGCAAATTGTGTATAAATGATACAAATATACAGAATATCGTTACCACGGAAACGGAACTTCTCCAACTA